AATCCTAGCTGCAGTGAGGTCTTTTGAAATCTGCATCTAGCCCTACCCAGGGTGATATACTCTCTGCCTATTTTTAAAATATCTATTACAAACTGTACCGCTATAAACATGGGCTCACATATATCACTGTGGTATGATGGTTTTAATTCTTTTGAGAAGATCCCCAGCAGGGGAATAGCTGGGTCAAATGGGACCTCCAGTCCTAGTTCTTTGAGGTATCTCCATACGGATTTCCACAGTGGTTGCACCAGTCTGCACTCCCACCAGCAGTGGAGCAGGGTTCCTTTCTCCCCACACCCCCGCCAGCATTTGCTATTGATTGATTTCATGATAGCAGCCATTCTTTCTGGAATGAGGTGGAATCTCAGTGTTGTTTTCATTTGCATCTCTCGAATGACCAGTGATGTTGAATAGTTTTTCATATGTTTATTTGCTATTTCTACTACTTTGTCTGAGAAATGTCTGTTCATTTCAGATGCCAATTTTTTGATTGGGTCTTTAAATTTGGGAGGTCTGATTTTTTTAAAGTTCTTTGTATATTCTAGATAGTAGACCTTTGTCTGAGGAACAGCTGATAAAAATTTTTCCCACATTGTGGGTTGTATCTTTACACGGTTAGCGGTTTCTCTTGCTGTGCAGAAGCTTTTTAATAAGAAGAGATCCCACTTGTTGATTCTTTGTGCTAGTTCACGTGCGACTAAGGTTTTGTTCATGAAATCTTTTCCTACACCAGTGTCTTCAAGAGTTCTACCTAATCTCTCTCCCAGCCGGTTTAGTGTTTCTGTTTTAACATTTAGATCTTTAATCCATTTTGATTTTAGTTTAGTGCATGGTGAGAGATATAGGTCTAGTTTTAATCTTTGGCAAGTTGAAACCCAATTTGCTAAAACTTGGAAATAGCCTAACTGCCTATCAATTGGAGACTGGATGAAGAAAACGTGTTTTTTTAAAAAATAAAATTGAATACCACTTAGCCATAAAGAATGAGAAAGTAGAGACATTTATAGCTAAATAGATGCACATTGAGATCATACTCTTAAGTGAAATAAATAGGACATGTGTAAATACCGAATAGTTTCTCTGGTAGGAGAAACTGAAAGTATGTAAGGATCAAAATGTGTAATAGATAATGTGAAACAGAAGAAAAGGTCCAAAGGGTAAGGGGAAGTAGGAGGGGTAGGGGAAAGGAAAGAAGGGAAAGGAATAAACATGAGAAAAGGAAAAAATGGAAACAAAGTCTTTCTAAATATGGAGGGGTGGAGGGGTTGAAGGGAGGGCAGGGGAATGGGGAAAAAATAAGAACCGAGATATATTACATAAAGATACAAATTCCCAAGAACGAATGTCAGCATACTGTATACCTAAAATGTACCAATAAAAGTAATGAATTAAATAAAAAGTCATCTAATATGCAGCACCCCCAGCTCTGTTTTGTTCTGTTTTATTCTTTGAGTTAGATTTTGTCTTACCTACAAGACAGACTCTCTGCCCATCACCCTTTAAGCCACTGTTTCCTAAATTTTGCTAATATTAGAATCACCAGGGGAATTTTTAAAAATCTCCAATGCAAATAAAATCATAATATCTCCAGATGGGCACAGACATCAGTAGTTTTTTAAAAATCTCAGGAGATTCCAAGGCATAGTGAGATTTGGAATCTATTGCTAACCAGCAGAGTAAACTGTTTTCTCCAGGCATCCCTAGCTCCCTGACGCCAATTTATAAGAGCTCTTTCCAGCATATTCTGTTCCACCTCCCCTTTTGGACTCTGAGCATCTCGATGTCAGATTCCTGTCTCTTTTTTCTCTACCTTGTACATGATAGAACCTTAGAAAGTGTGAAAATAATGAACAAATAGGACAAGGCTACATCATCTTCTTGTGTATTTTTCCCTTCAATGAAGATGGTACAAGATATAAGAGAGGAGGAAATGAAAATTTTTAATAGAGGGCAGTCTCTGGAGCCAGACTAGCTTTGCCCAAATCCTGGTGGCCCAGGGCTCAGCTGCTCCCCACCTCCCTTCCTCCCTCTACAAAATGTACATCCACTAGTACTTACACCACAACCATGTTGTCAGGATTTCAACAGTTAGTAATGTAGAAAGCTTAGAACATGCTTGGTCCGTAGTTAGCATACGCCAAATGTCAGCTTCTATCTTCATTGATTCACTTGAACCCAGAGGATGAGGAAATATGGGCTCCCTGGGTTGGCTAAGCGGTGAACAGGAAGTGAGACAAATGAGGACAGATGGCTCTTTGCACAATCTTGCAAAGGGGACACAGTGTGGGAAGAAGCAGAACAGAGTATGGTTGCTGGTATTTTCCTGTTTAGGCTGCCGGTCAACACATATTCAAATACTGAAAGAAAGAGCCACATGACCAGGAGAAGCTGAAGCGTGGAGTGGGCAGAGTCAACCCTGAAAGAGGTGGATGCTGCAGGGGATGGCAGGAGATGGATCTGGAGCCCAGGGGCTGGAGGAACCTTGGACCAGAGCAGCCTGTGTCTCCCTAGGAGGAATCACAGAGAGGCTGGGTGCCAGGATGTTCACACCTGAGTGCGCTCTGGGGGGTGGTTTTGCTTTGTGTGCTGTTGGTTAGCTTAGGTGAATTTTGTTTGGGTGGCTGCAAGTTTACTGCACTGGGGTGGAGAATCCTTGAGTGTGTGGTGGCCGAACAAAAGACTTGTAAAGTTCCTCAGCTGCTGCTGGCCTTGCCTTGCCCACAGTGCCAACAGCACGAGATCAGAGCTTTCAGAGCCACCTGAATAGAGCCTGGTAACTGGAGGGAGGCCAGGTGAAGGAGTTATTGTTCTGTATTATTCATCACATAGAATTCAGTCTCTTATAAAGGAACTCTTTCTGCCTGAGGGGAAAGGAATGCACTTCCTTGTAAAGAGCATATTTTTTTTTTCTTTTTTGAGTGGTACTGGGGATTGAACCCAGGACCTTCACACTGAGTTACCTCCCTGACCCTTTTTAAATTCTTTACTCTTTATTTTGAGACAGGGCCTCGGCAAGGGCCCAGGCTGGGCTTGAACTTGCAATCCTCCTCCCTCAGGCCACCAGAGTGCCAGGATTACAGGCGTGTGCCCAAGAATACAACTTTATAACAGGTGTTATTGTAACTGGACTGTACTGGTAGAGTCTTTACATTAAAAGCGTGTGTGCTTGCAAATTTGTCAGCTGGAGGTTGGTAGACCCTTGGCTGTTTTAGAGAGAGACAGTGAGTTCCCAGCTAAGGATGTCCTCGACAACATCACTCCATCTGCTGCTGCTTCCTTATCTGCAAAAGAAGGGGGTGGGACCCCAGCCTGCTTCCTTCCTCCCTCCCAGAAACTTGTATTTACTGAGCTCCCACTCTAGGCAGGGAACTCCTGTGGGTGCTGTACAGAGATAAATACAACCTGATGAAACAAAACCCAACAGAGATAAACAAAACCTGATTAAGCCACTGGCCCTCCCTCGTAATGTGCGCTTTTGCAGGAAAACCAAAGTTATCCCTCAGAATTGGTGCCAGGAGTCCTTCAGATACCAAACCCGAGGGTGCTCAAGTCCCTTGCATAAAACAGTGTAGTGTTTGCCTATAGCCTACCCACGTCTTCCTGTGTATCTAAATCATCTCCGATGACTTACAATGCCTAACACAGAGTAACTGCTGTGTAAATCACAGCTATACTGCATTGTTTAGGAAACTATGGCCTCCAAAACTGTATGTATGCAGTACAGATGCAATTCCCCCCCAAATATTTCCCACTGAAGTTAGATGAATCTGCAGATGCAAAAGGCCGACTGATAATCAGAATCACTCCGCTGTTGTTGAGGTTCTCATCGCCTCTCATTTAAACACTTTCACTGGCTTCCTAATTGGTCTCCTTGCTTTTGGTGATCGTGTTTTCTGCCCAGTACACTGGCAGATGCTTTTCTCTGAAGCCCGTAGCATGCTGTCCTCCAGCCCCATGACATGACAGGCACTGCCACGCTTTGTTTCTTTTACCCCTGTTCTCTTCATTCTCTCTGTCTTGCAAACTCCTACTCACCCTTCAAGGCCCAACTCCATGCTTTCCCTACACCCACACCCTTGGCAGAGCAAATGGCTTCTGCCTACAGTGCCTCTCTAACCCTCAGGGCCTCCAAACAGCCTCAGTTTTAGCATTTATCACTGTATGACCTGTCTCCTACGTTGGGGAAGGGTCATATGTGAGAAGCATACGAACATCTCTGCCCTTTACTGCAGGCCGTTACCATGCCCTGGGAGAATGCAGGGGACCAAGGACATGGAGATATTTTTCTCTAATTTTTCAAACACAAGGCAACAAAGTATACACAGCGAACACTCACATACCCATGCCCAGCTTTGACAAATCCTATCATTTGCCACATTTGCTTCAGATATTTTTCTTCTTTTTTCTAGGACATTAGAATACACACTCATACACCAAAGGAATCCATTCCCTTTCCTTCATAGTAAGTGTTTATCATTCATATGCATGTTTTTGGGTGTTTACCACAGAAGCATATATTTCTAAATGCTGTTTTATACTGTTTTTCGTTTTAAGCCTCTTAACTTTGAATCGTCTCACTCTGTATACATGAAATTACAATGTGTTTTCCTCCCCAACATTATTCAGATACATGTGGGCTTATTTGCAGGCTTCCTGCTCTGTTCTACTCTCTGCTTGTCTATTCCTGCACAAATTCCTTAACATAAGGGCCTTACTGAGAGGTCCTAAGAGCTGGCAGGGTAAGTCTCTCCTTGTTCTTCTTCAAAATCACTCCAGCCATTCTTTGGCCTTTTCACTTTCATATGCATACACCCTTGTAAATCCCACTTACTTGGAAGGCTGAGGCAGGAGAAGTTTGAGTTCAAGGTCAGCCTGGAAAACTTAATGAGATCTCATTCTCGAAGGAAGAAAACATTTGGAAATTCCTTATGTAAATTTATATGTTAATATGCGAGAAGTTCTATTTTTATGATACCAAGTCCCTTTTTTTGTATCCGTACCTGTTTGTGATCCATGATGAGTACATTCCTCGTGGTGTGGTACCAGGTCTCACCCTCCTTCAGCCTGATGCAGCCCTCAAGCTGCTCTGCTCTCCTGGGTGGGATGCGGTGATGAACCAGTGCATCTGTCCCCAGGAATCCTGATGGCAGAGGAAAGCTCATCTGAGAGCTCTTGCCAGGCCAGAGCAGAGCCCAGCTTACAGGAAAGAAAGGAAAGCAGACGGGCTGCTCAGACCCCTGCCAAGGTCGCCTAACCCAGCGGCAGCAGTAAGCTGAAGGCTGCATTACTATGGTCTCCTACTGCCACCAGGGCAGATATTGTGGTCCCCCGTCACTCCTTCCTCTTCTGTTCCTTCCTGTGATTCTCAGCTTCCTCCCAAACTTCACCCCAGTCAGTTACATTAGTCAGAGCTGGCACACCATGAGACACTGCTCTGCCACTCAGCCCAAAGCTCTCTAAGCCCACAGGTGTTTGCTGGGACCCTGTGATGACCCAACGTGGGTGGCTCTGAGTGGCATCACAGGACTGCATTGGGCCTGAGCCTGCCCTGCTCTGCAGATAGAGGATGAGTTCGCTAAACCTGTGCCCTCCTCCCAGGGTGAAGATCACTTCCTGGGGAGAAGCAGAAGGCTTCAGGCAAACCAACGAGCTGAGCAGACTGCATGGAGAAGCCCTTGGCTGAAGGACCTACTTGTGACTGCTCCTTCTGGCCACCAGCTGACTCTGGATTTATGTGGGCAGAAGCACTTACAATCTGGCCCCTGAGTGCTTGGCAGAGGAACTATTTGTATCTCCTTCTGCTGCTTATGGAGATAAATAATTACCATACATTATGACAGATTACAAACAAGGTCTCTGTCCTGCTCCCCCGTGTGCCAACAGGTTAGAGTCCTTTACACTCACTGAGAATCTGCCGTGTGTCTGGCCTTGGGTGAAGTGCTTACAAGACATGGCCTCACCCCACCTTCACCACTGTGGAAGGTAAGACCAAAGTGGAAGGTAAGACCACTCACACACAAGAAACGCAGACTCTAGGAGCTGAGGGGACTCATCCAGTCAAGGTCCCACAGCTAGTCCCTGGTAGACTGTGAGCTGAGATCTGTGGACTGTGACTGTCGATCCACGTCCAGCCCCATGGTGCTGCTGCCTGCTGTGTGAGGGAGGAGAGATGGGAAGAAAGGTGAGGGGAAGGAAGGAAGAGGGATATGGAGGGACCATGGCAGAAGAAAGGGCAAGAAGGAAGATGGGAGTGAGGAAGGGAAGAGGGAGGCTGGTGGTATGGAGGGCAACAGGCCTGTCCAGGAAAGGACTCCCTTTCCCACGGCCTCCCTCCTAGGTCCTAGGATCACCCATTCCAGGGTGATCTTGTATTTCCAGAGTGGTCCTTCTGTCCCTTGGGGGAAGGAAAAGAAAGGAAAGGGGGGAGAGAGGACAGACTGCCACAGCTGAGCCCAGTTCTTTGAGGCCTGGTGGGTATGGGGAAGAATCCTCAGGCCAGTTGCTTCAGGAGCCCTGCCCTTTGTGATGAGAACAGAAAAGCCACAGTAGCTCTGTCACCCCCAGATCCTGGTAGAGGGGCTCTGCCCAAGACTAATGGAAGAACCAGAGGGATGATGTAAAGAGCATTAACTTGGTTAAGGAGAAATAAAAATCAAGCTATTCCAGAATATAGAAACTATTTATCTCTAGGGTTTGGCCTCTGGACATTTTTTCTGTGTTCCAGTGTTCTCTCACATGGCTGAATCACAGTAGAGAGCATTCTCTCCCTGCTGCTGGATCTGCAGTGCATTGTTCAAAGGTCCCCTCAAGTGAATGGAAGGGACGAAAGGTAGGTGGCAAGGGCGGAGTGGGCTTGGGGAGGCCACTGCAGCCAGGGCTGCCACTCCTGAGCTGCCATTTCTGGGGGCTCATTGCTAGGCATTACCTCAGCCAGGAAGAAGCCACTCTGGACTTTTTGCGGGGGGAGGGTACTGGGGATCGAACTCGGGTCCCTGCGCTTGCGCAGCAGGCAGCAAAACCACTGAGCTAAATTCCTGGCCCCCACTCCGGACTTTTGACTTCAGTTTCCCTCCTTCTCTCATTTCCCCAGCTGCCAGGCACTTCCTCTTTCTGATAGCTACTGAAGGAGTTCTGTGAAGCCAGCTCTCCTCCCAAACTCTCTGGGGTATGGACTTAACTAACAACCGCTCCAATTTGCCTCTCCATAGGAAACAGGGCAGACAGGATGTTGATGCCAAAGGAAGCCAAAAACCAAGTCAGTATGGGAAGCATTTGCCAGCTTCCTGTCAAAATTCTCTGGGCTCAGCTACAAGGCCTGCCAGGACAAGAATATTTGATCTGGGGCCCTCAGGGAGTTAACAGATTTGCTTTAGGCCTGGCAGGGGCTCTAGGGCAGGTGGGTGGGGGCTCTGACAGGAAGAATCTCTGGCATTTGCCAAGGATACTTGTCCTCAGGTGGGCAGCAGCATCTCACTTCCTTTTGAAACAGGAAGTAGTTTAAGATTCAGAAACAAGCTCTGGCTTATAAAGGAAAAAGATAAGGGAAGTTAGCAAAACCCTAAGATTCCAACCAAAGGGAGTCCAGGGGACTCCCACTCATAGAGAAACCCATGAGAACTAGAGCAGAAGTTCAGCCACCAGATGAGGCTGGGAAAAGGCAGGATGAGGAATCACAGTTGAGGGCCCAAAGCAGGTAGGTCCACTGGATGCCTGGGTCATGAACACTGATCCTTGTCCTCTCTCTCACTGCCCAGGCAGGGCTCCCACTGCTAGCACAGGGATAGTTTCATAGGCTGGTGGGCCTGGAAAACGCTAAACAGGACAGTTGAAGAGCTCCAACCCTAGCAGATGGGCCTGGCTGAGGAAGGCAGCAAATGATACCTTCATTCTCACCATATAGGTAATAAAATGCAAATCTTAACTTGAACCTGTTACACTAGATGCATGACTTATTAACTCAATCTGTTCCCAAGGGCTGGTTGTAACTCAAGTTGGTCAGTGAAGGTTCAGGCTCCTCTACACAGCCTTCAAATTCTCTCTCCTGTATCCAGGCAGATCTCAGTGTCCTTTGAGAGACACTGGCTCAGGATTTCTCAATTAACCCCACACAGGAAAGTGTGTTGTAATGCTCCTTCCAGAACTCTTTAAAGGTTAAATCTGTGTGTGAGACCATCTGGAAGGACAAGTGGTTGGCATTCAGGTCATAACTCAAGACTTTGATCATAAGTTAAAACTAAAATTCCAGTCATAACCCAAGTTGTTCATATGTCGTAACTTAAGGGTCCACTATGTAGTCTGATTTTTCTCCTACAGTGTTGGCAAAGCTCTTGCCTGGCACTGACTGCATCCATTCACTTTTGAAATTAAATGACAGCATTTCCTCAAGCCCATTCTTAAGTGCCTTTAGAAAAGTGGGGAAAAGGAGGAAATCGAGGCACAGAGAGCTAAAGCATGTAAGGGAACATAAACCAGATGGGCCGCTTCCTCCTTTCCATGGCCCTGGCAGGCAATCACTATTCAGTCACTGCATTCCTCCCCGTGAGCCCAGAGCTGTTAGCAGCATTCAGCAGGGCCCTGTAGGCCTTCCTCTCCAATTGCTTTGTGCCTGCCATTCATTCCCTGGGTGCTTGAGTGAACAGCCAGAAAAGATAGACCAAGAGCAGGGAGGAAGTGTCCCTAGAAAATAAAATGTCTGTCTCTGCCAAACAACGGTGACAGATTTTATTTCCCAGTTGGCTTTAATTCCCAAAGTTGGTAACATCTCTCATCCTAAATTCTCTTGTGCAATGTGACTTTGCCATGTCCCTGTCAATAGGTGGAATCTTTTTCTTCACCCCTTTAAAGACCAGGATGCTCTGGCTGCTTTGACCCACAGAATAAGGAAGAATGTTGCTGAGCCAATGCTGCCAGCACCCTTCACTGGAATGGAAGCTTCTCTTCCTGTCTCTTGGAACCCAGCCGCCATGTTGGGAGAAGCCCATGTCACAGGTGGAGGTCATGTGCAGTCAGCAGCCCAGCTGAGCTCTGGATGGCAGCCAGCATCAAGTAAGTGACAGGCACCTGTGAGCTGTCTCAGACTCCCTGCCCAGCCAAACCTTCAGTAGTCATGTGTCTATAATTATATGAAAGATCCCAAGTGGACATTGCTCAGGGAAGCCCAGTCTATATACAGGACCATGGAAATCCATCAGAGAGTATATAATAAATCACTTTAAGCCATTAAGTTTTAGGTGGTTTGTAACTCAGCAATACATAGCTGGAACAGAAATAGAATACTCCCAAAACTCACCTCAAATCAGCCATCATTTATGATTTCTCATAAGACTGGTTGTTTGGCATCTTTGGGCAGCTGGCAGATGGGCTGGGGACTGGCTGGTTAGTGACCTTCACTGAGTCAGCTGTATTCTGCTCTGTGTGATCTCTTGTGCCCCATCAGGCCAACTCAGAACTATCTGTCCTCAGAGAGACAGAGAGAAGAGAAGACACAAAGCTTAAGACATTGTGCAATGAAGTCACATGGCAAAAGGTATAGAAACTGGAGGAGAGGGAGAATTATATCCATTGTTGCAATCAGCCCATCATGGTAGCCACTGCAGCTATTAAGTTTACAAGGAGTCATGAACTATGACTCCCTCCTCTGTTGTGTCTGACATCTCTAGTTAACTCTCCATTACTTGATTACTTTTCATTATTTTAACTTTCCAGACTCTGTGTGGAGGAAGGTAAGGGAGAAAAGGGAGCACGTGTAGGAGTTTTGGGGTGGTCAGCCCTCCTTGTTGAATGCTCTAGTGCTGTGGTCTTCCAACAGTGTTCTGTGAAGCCCTGGGGCATGGAGTGTTTTGGGGGGCTTACGAGAGAAATGGGTGTGTAAAAGTGTGAGTAACTTTGTCTCCCCACCCTAACCAGGGTAGCTCTGGTCTCACTCTTGAGATTTCCTTTGAAGAACGCTTATGCAGCTTTGAAAACAAAATCTGAAATCCTTAAGACCACACCCCCTCTTAATCTTCTGGAAGAGGAAACAGTCTTGCAAGTGTCTACCCTACATGGCTCAGCAGTTGAGTGTCCTGACTGGTGTTAGAACCTGTCTGTTGACCCACCACTGTATCCAAGGGGAATTCTCCTAGCTGATTCTTTCCCTGGGTTCAAGACGGAAGAGAATTGCTAGAGTTCATGGATGGGGGAAACTGAGGCAAATCAGAAGGGATGTTTCTGACATGTTACTGCTTCACTTCTCAACTTCACCAACCAAGACCCTTCACAGCCCATATGCCCTAAGCCTTAATAAACCCTGCTCCATCCTAAACACACACACACACACACACACACACACAGCCTCACAGGATGGTTCCTTTAAGGCTTGGTCGCAAGAACCACAGACAATTCAGGGCATGATATTGGTCATAGGTTGGGCTCATTGATCAGCTTGGGGACCGAGCAGGGCCAGCCTGGTGCTGCTGACCCTAAGAGGCCGGATGGAGCTGTGTCTGGGAGGAAAGCCCACTTACCCGGAGAAGGCCTGGGTCTGCTTGGAGGTTGTGATCTCCTTGTTCCCCTCCCAGCATGTTAATTCTATTTCTTTCCCAACTAAGTTTTGTTTTGTTTTTTAGGACATGGGCTATTTATAGGTCCTCCTAAGCCGTTTGCAGTCTGTTTCCTGTTCAAGTACTGCATTAGTCACCAGAAAGTGTCTCAGGCAATCTCCCACCCTTGCCTGATCCACAAGGAACACAGGCGTGCTGGTAGGACTCAGGGAAGTAGTCAGGGGAGGCAGGAGGCTGGCTGGGGAGGCAGAGGGGAGCATCTCTTGTTCCCCATCCTGTGTGGCATAAAGCCCCAAGTCCTTGTGGCCTCCTGGAGTCCTTATGCTTAGTCCCTGGAGACACAAACTGCAGAGGCACCTCTGTTTGGCTGCATATTTTTGCCATTAGTTGATGACCTATTTGCATGCAGCTCCTTGTAGAGAATTTCCTCCCAAGCCATATACGGTGATTTCACTGCACCACAAGCTGAGGCGTCTATCTGCAGTCAGTGATCAAGGCTCCTTCCTGCTATCCTCTCCTCCCTCCATCCCTTTACTGTAGGTTTCCCAGGCTGACCTGCCCGTTCAAGCTCAGTTCTCCCCACACATACATTGTCCTAAGAATTGACCAGCTTCATCTGACAATCTGAGCTGAGTTCTTGTACCCACAGACATAAGGAGCAGTGAGAGAGAAGAAGGAACTTCAGGCCAGCGAATGGTAAAGGGGACAGAAATCAGCCCACCGTGTCCTTTTGCCTTCCCATGACTTTGCTTATTCTGTTTTTGGCCTGGAATTCATCCCTGGACCATGGCAAATGCATTGAGAATCCATTGCTGAAAATCTCCAGTGGTTGCCAAAATCTCCTAGTGACCCCTGGCCTCTTTGATTAACCATTACAAATAGCTAGTGAAGGAGTTGGCTGCAGGGATTCTGATCCTGTGCTTTCTGGGGACAGGGGAGACAAAGGTGGAGGGAAGTTGGAAATTCTGTTTGCATAGAGTGTCACCAAGTAGCCTATATCCCAGAGATGGAGAGCTTTCCAAACAAAGCATGTGAGGACCTCAGAGGTGACTGATTCTAGGTTGTCCTTGGGGACAATGGCCTTCTCAGTCTCAACCTCAAGGTTGCCCAATTCAGAGCAAGGAGCATGTAATGCCAGCTGGTCAGGGAGCACCTCCATGCCAGGCTGCCTGACGTGTGGTGTGGAAACACTCAGGAACAGCCTTGGTGAGAAGGTGAATGAGCTAATGCCACCTTCGGTCCTGCTCAGAGCCGGCCTGCATACCAGCCCTGAGTGGGGGAGGCAGAGGAAATCGGGCATGAGACGTGTATGCCAGTGCCAGCCGGGGCCCAGGCATCTCAGGGCTACTCCTCAGCTCTGATGCACACCGACAATCTGGCTCAACTATTTTTATTTCCATTTGGTTTCAGTCCTAGGAAAGTCATTACAGACTGTCTCCCCACAGAGGATACTCAGTTACATCCTTGGGAGGGTGAGAGCCCAGAAGACGCCATAGGGGATGGCTGAGTCAGGTTTAGTCAAGGGTGAGCTTGCTTCACCCAGAGCTGGAGGCCTTGAGACCGATTCCTAGGGGATGGGTGATCCAGGTGCTTATAGGGACATGAGCATCAAGCAGAGACTTTCCTTCTTTGAAACCACGATGGTGGATTGTGAATCTGAGAGCATCTAAGAGTGACACTGTACCCAGTCTCCTTGTTAAGAGTCCCTCTCCTACTTGTACTTTTTAATTTTGAAGATTAATACATCTATAGAAAAGCACATAAAGCATTACACAGTCTAATGGAGAACTACAAGGCAAGCACCCCTGTGCTCCTGCCAGGAAATGAAATGCTGCCAGCAGTTCCATGCCCCTTCCACATCCCCATCTGGTTATACCCACTCCCTCTCTCTAGACATCTTTGGTGTCTACTTCCTCTTTCTATGGTTTTACCACCCTAGTTTGTATCCTGAAAGAAAACATTTTTTACCCATTTTGAGCTTTCAAAGAATAGAATCATGTTACGGACTTCCTGGGTGTTTTGCTTCTTTGGTCAGTTATGTTGATGAGACTCATCCATCTCATTGTGCATTGATTGCATCCTTATGATTGTATTGCCTTTCACTATGTAAGTGTGCCAGGTGTAGTTTTCGATACCACTGTTGATAGACACCTGGGTTCTTTTCAGGTTTGGGGTGTTAGGAGCAGTGCCACAGTGAGCGTTCTTGATATGTATATCCTGGGGCCAAGGATTGATAGCTACAAGTGCAGATGTTGGGCTATCGAGAAAATAAATGGTTTTCTTGGGGCTTGCACTACTCTTGCTCTCTCTGTTGGTCCAGCATCTGATACCCAAAGGAAGAAGCCCTCAGTCTAGAACTGCTGAGCCCACAGAGAAGCTTCAGGAGGAAGTGGTACTGAGAAGTCCATCCGTGTGTGCTTTCGCTCCTTTCCCTGCACCGTTGTTCCGGCCTCTGCTATTGCAGCTCCCAGAGCTAAGCTCAGTACCCTCCCTCTGTCCAGAGCTCAGTTCACTGCGGCTCCCAGACTCATCTGATCGAGGACATGGTGGACAGTTGTCATCTGAAGGTCAATCCAAAGGTAGTGGGACCCTGGGCCTCAGGCAGGAACTCAGAGATTGCTCAGGGTAGGGCTTGATCAGGGCTGATGGCTGGTTGGCAATGCTGCATCTGGGGCCTGAGGCATAATAATTCCTCCAGGCTGCCTAAGTCAAGCAGTGGGAGGAGACATTAGGACTACAGCTGGTCTCAGAGGCCTGGGACAGACTCTGAACAGCTGAATAACACCTAACTTAAATAGTTTTAAACCAAAAAGGAGAATGAATGAGCTTGTGACAAAATGAAATGGTAGCCCTACCTCCAGGAGAACTTGGTCCCGGAGCTCAGACAATATCATCACACTCAGGCTTATGGAATAGCTCATCTCTGCTTGAGGAGAGTCAGCAGTTGCTAAGATGAAGCTTCAGTGAAAGGGTCAGATTCTGGGGCAGCAATGGAAGCCGGCAGTCCAGGCTGAGGCCAGGGATCAGCAGGACCCATGACCAGGGACAACACAGGGAGTGATCCCCATGTCTGGACAGCAGGTGCCCCCAGGGCATTCCTGGGGCCTAGTGAACCAGTCCATTAAGATTGGGAATTGGTAGATTCACACAGCCCTATAAAGACATGTTTATACCCTCAGATTCCTAAAAATATTCATCTAGTATTATTCTGAGTAACTGGGAGGAGAGTCCCAGAGAGGAAAGGAAGAAAAATGCTCTTACTAGATGCAAACTATTTGTATGTATTTCCCATACTAGGCCTGATTTTCTTAAGATTGGGTACCACTTCCAGGTAGCTGTTGTTGGGATTTCTGGGACATTTCTGTGATGTGTGAGACCAAAGGAACAGAATATTGGAAGTCAAGGCTGTTTTGACAATTCCTAAAGGTAGAGTAGCTGCAAAGGTTTTAAATAACACGTATTAGGCATTTTGTTTTGTTTTGTTTTGTGCTAGGGATGGAACCTAGGCCCTTGCCCATGGCACGCCAGGCAAACACTGTACCACTGACCTACACCCTTAGGTGTTTGGTCTGTGTGTTTGTTTAATGCAGAAAAGAATGAAAAAACCAAGTGGTCAGAAAGTGATAAGAGACCTCCTTGGTATTTTCAGAATCACACCTCTGCTCTGTTGTTTATACAAAAAAGTGTAACAGGAAGAAGCTCATCCTTCTCTCTTAGTCCCCTTTCCCATAGGGGCCAAGTAGTCGGTTTCTTACGCATTTTCCAGAAATGATTCTTCTGCAGCCAGGCCCAGTGCTAAGGAGGTCTGAGGAGGTGCTCAAACCTGAATGGGAGGAACCCAAGGGGTGAATGAGAGTGTCCAGGTCCCGGGGGCCCCTCCCCAGCAGGCCTCCTGCTCCTCCCCCCTCCAGCTCCAGGTGAGACCTCCCAATGGGCCTGGGCTGCCCCCCAGCCCTGTCACTCCCCAGGCCCCAGCTCAGCCTCAGGAGAGCTCCTGGCAGGGGAATGGTTACTGAGTGAGATGCCCAGAGGGAAGGATTTTCGCACTGATTACATGTCTGGTGCTTTAGAACATCTCCACTCTATTTTTTCCAGGCATGATTCATCCAGGAATCATCAGAGACAGCCTGATGGGGACCATGCCCGTGCTCCATCCCTAGCTTTGATCAGGGTTACATAACCTTGTGGTGATTTGCACTTAGAAGCTGTTTTCCTTTTGCCACTCATCCCCAAAGGTTAGGGAGAAGACTGTATAGTGCCAGGGTTTAAATTAGTATAAACTCTTTTTCCTTAGTCATCAGGCATAGACTGCATGACATCAGACCTGGAAGAAAAGTGAAAGACTCAAACATTCTCACTCAACATGTACCCACTCATCATCATTCACCGATCATATACTTTGAGAATTTACCAATTCCCAGGCCCTCTGCCATCCAGTCAGCACCTTTGCCTGACGACTTAGAATAGAGACAAGTTTTCCTGAGGGGAGAAAGGAAGAGAGGTTCAGACCCAAGGAACAATGTGTAGAAGTGGAAGTATCTGGAAACAATTGCAAATGACTCTCAGGTCAGGGGTGAGAGGCCAGGGGAGACCAGCAGGCTGTAGGACAAAGGACCCTGAATCCCACAATCCTCAATTTGGACTTTATTTTAAAGGCCAGTGGGAATGATTGAGGGTTTTGAGGAGGAGAATTGAATCACTGGGGAACCCAGCACAAAGAGAAGGCCCACTTAGCTAGGGTAACTGGAGGAATGTTAAATGAGGGACTGTTTACTAAGGTTTAGGCAGTAGAATGACTCGGAATGGTACTACATGCAGAGCGAGTTAACGTAAGGACTGTCAGGCAGGAAGCCTGAGAAGGAGCAGTTGCTGAGAGAATCATGCGAAGGTCACCTTGAGAGGAGGTGTGGACATGAGTTGTGGTGACTCCACAGTCCAGGAAGATACCAGATCTCTCTCTCCCCACCCCTGAAATCCTGCCAGTGCTGCCCATTAGCCAAACCCAGCCAGGGGCCCAGGAAGTCATCAGCACAGT